CTCTCTCTCTCTCTCTCTCTCTCTCTCTCTCTCTCTCTCTCTCTCCACACACACACACATTACCGTGCCCTCCACCAGTGAGCTTCGGAAGTGCCTCCTGGTAGGCCCCCAAACTTATCTCCGCAGGCTGGTTCTCTCTAGCCGGCGGTCCCACGAAAGGGTCTGACGGCCGGAAACGCGAATTTTCAACCCCACGTTTTTTTTTTTTTTTCCCTTTAAAAAATGAAAAACAAAATCGGCAGCACAGGGGGGTTCCTGACTGCCAGGGGCAACCCCCGATGCCACCGGAACGGGGTTACTCCCGCCCCCTGCTTGGCAGAGCGCTCTTTGGCAGGGGCCGCTTTACCCCGTGAAACTGGGGGTAGGATCGGGGGTAGGGCGGAGGTAGGACGCCACTCGAAGGTTAGAGTGGGGACCCCCCATTCTACCCTCCACCAGACACTCAGTACATCATCCCCTCAGTCCAATGTCAGTCTTTCTTGTTCTTCTTCCTCATCCTCTCCTTCTTCAGTGTTATCATCATTGACACATTCATGGTGAGATTGGCCGTGACAGATGCCTCTTTGGTGCAGATGTCTCCCTGTCTCCATCACCGCCTCCCAGACAGCAGCCTTGTGTGTAAGTGGACAGTATGATCGTTGTGTACCTGGCTGGGGTCGGAGGTCTGCTATGCCGAGACTGCCTACAGCAGCCTTGTGTGTAAGTGGACAGAATGCTCGTTGTGTACCTGGCTGGGGTCGGAGATCTGCTCTGCCGAGACTGCCGCCACGCCTGCAATATCAAGGAACCGCTTCACCCCTCCGAATACTCACAAGCCTTTAATAGCAGCTATCAAATCTCGTGTAGACACGTGGTGCAGCCACCTGTATAGCATTTTCACGACTAGCACTCCACCCTAGGTGCAAGCAATGGCATCCCCCCAATACTCACAAGCTAGAAACAGCACATATTGAATCTGCTGTGGAGAATGTGCTGATGGTTTCTGGAGTCCTGCGGGCCTGAGTGATGTAACAGACGTGCGGTTCAACCACCTGTGTAGCAATTCCACGACTGGCAGCCACCCTAGGTACTAGTGCCGGCTATAAGCTTCGGCACCTTTTCCCCTCCTCCAAATGATGATGATGCAGCCTTCGATCATTTGATGCAACCCCCGGTTGCCGGTGATCTGCCCCCAGACCACTTGACAAAGCCAAGGGAGTTATTAGGTCCAGAAGTGCCTGGCAGAAACTGAGACTGGAATGAGCCTCCTCCTGCCATCTAGTCTCCCAAGCCAACCTCATTGCGCTGGTATACTTGCTTGTATATATACACTGACGTGAAGAGAAACACATACACAGTACCCCACAAGTCCAAAAACAATCAATTTGACTCATATGACCCGGACACAGACAATAGACTCCCGTAGGGAAATCATACATAGACGAAAGTCCCTCCTGGCAGATCACACGAGTGGGGGGATAACCGTAGATGGCGAAGCTGGGGGACAAAGACAGAATGTGGGAGACGATGAAGAGAGAGTCTGGAATGATAGTCAAACTGATAATAGTCGCCCTCAACCCACAATCCTCTCCCAATACAATGCCGAGTCTGAACCCGTGCAATGTCTGCCGAAATAGTCACTAAGTCTCGGATCTCTCTCTGGAATCGAGACGAAGCAGGCAGAAATGGAGGGGGGGAGGAGGAGGAGCAGAAGAAGAGCAAAAAGAAAGTTGGATGGCTGGTTTCTCTCTCTCTCTCTCTCTCTCTCTCTCTCTCTCTCTCTCTCTCTCTCTCTCTCTCTCTCTCTCNCTCTCTCTCTCTCTCTCTCTCTCTCTCTCTCTCTCTCTCTCTCTCTCCCCCCCCCCTCTCTCTGTGAGTGCGACAGGTGACTGTTTTGACACTGCGTGCCTCTGGTCCAGTGCTGACCAACTAAATAGCGTTGGGCCTACCGGAGGTCCTGGCCTGCTTCCAGGGCTGTCTGATCTAAACGACGCAGGCTCAAGTCTTGGTCTATCGTCTGGGCCTAAAATCAGCCGCTGTGGGGCTGTACAGAACGTCCAGGCCTTCCTCATGATGCAGCAGGAGCTGTCCCAAACAGGGCAAGGGCTGGACCAGTCACCAGCAGATGAACCAAGATCCAGCCGAGCTTGGACGAAGGTCTAGTATCGAACACTTGTGCCTGTTCCTACATGTGAAATCTGAAACGACACTGTTCCAGACCATGCAAAAAGTGGGAAAAAAAATGAACCAGCAGCAAAGTGTGAGAACAGACGAAAACAACACATGCTGCTGAAAAGGAAACAACGTCCAGCCCAAAATGTGGGTTGTGGGGCCCTTTGGCCCAATTATCAAGCGCGGTTCCCCCACGGCCTGTGTTAGAGGCCTCTGCATGCTACACCAGCACTTTTGGGTATCACGGATATGGGCACATCAGAAGAAGTTTGTGGGTGAAATATGAAGGCTTATCCCCTCCCCTCGTCTTGTGGTGTTTTCAAAATTTCTTCTCTTGTTTCCTGATGTGAATGCAAAAAAAAATATGTTGCAGGCCCAAGAGCTTACGAGCAAGCTAGAGCAACCATTGAGAGAATATGTCCGCATGATCCTCTCGATAAAGGTGTGTTCAATTGCACAGGCTTTCCGTTTTCGGTATTCCAAGAAATGTCACTTTTCGCTATACGACAATGGATTCGACATCGTAGTTGGTCTTGTGATTACTTCATGCACAGTGGATCATATTGCTGATCTATTTCGCATGTTTGATTGATTCTTTCATCTTGTATCTTATTGTCACTTTGTCCCTTTCTACTTGGATTTTTCTCATATAAGTTTTGTTGTTTGAAGTCTGCTCTAGTGATTTGTGATGAGCACTGGTTTCAGCAGAGGAGGATAAAGAAGAGAGGGTGAACATCACACACTCAGACTTGGATGATGAACGTGGCAAGCATGGCGACCACAGACACTGAATGAATACCAGCAGCAAAATGAGTCGCGAATCTCAATTCAAAACTTGAAAGAGAGTTTAATACCTGTCATCAGGTACACACCAGTCTATTGTACCAGAGACAAGTATGCTGAGCAGGTTAAGTCCATTTCAAAAGAGCAGGGTTGAGCTAATGAACTGGTAGCAGGATTATGAAAGGATTCATGTCCATTTGCCTGCTGCGATTCGATCCCAGACCCTCACCTGCCTGTGTGTTTCCCCCTTGATTGAGCATGCCGAGATTTCAACCTGGAACCTTTCCTGGGATTGTTCTATAGAGATTAGACATCTTGTGCTTGTTGAGTCTTGATCCGACGACCTGCACCTGCTCAAAAACTCGTAACAAAGCCCTTAGTACCATTCGTAGGCTGTCATTAAAGATAGGGCGTCGCAGAACCTAGGCCCAGGCCAGAACAGTTACCAGTAGCGAAGGCCAAGTAACAAAAGTCTTGTGTGGAAGCTGAATCGACACTCTGGAACGTTGAAGCTGGATGGCATTCGTGTGGAAGGAGGACCGTGCTATTTGACCTAGGGAATGGAGGAGAAGAGGCAGCCATGACTGTCGTGCAAGGAAATTCTGTGTGTGGGCCATAGCAGTGTGTGTGAAGAGAGTGCATGTGTACCGTGGTGTGCATGTGTGCATGCGAGGCTGTGAGTGAGAGAGAGAGAGAGAGGGAGCGGCAGGGTTGACAAGGGACCACCAGTCAGCGCAGTGATGTGCAGTGGCTGGCCGGATCCTTGACGACATGGGAGGCATCCCTGTTATAGGCAGAGTCTGTATAACATGAAGGCTTGCGCTGATCTCTGATTGACGTCTTTGTACCAGCAAGTGACGCAGCTTTGTGGATTTTGAAGTTTCAGGGGAGTTCCATTTGAGACCGAAAGTGAAATTGTGTTTTGCCCGCCAGCTTGAATTTGCAAGTGGGAGTGAGCACATGTGGATGCTGCCTCCTCACAATTACTGCCTGGTAAAACTTCATAACTAATGAACTGGCAGCCCGTACTGTCTATAGACTCTAGAGTCTATACTGATATACTTGCTCTCCAATGTGCTGCCAGTCCGTATTGATATGGCCACTGGATGAATCTAGCGGCCAAGCGCTCTCGTTCCCAAGTTACTCTGGGCCTACCCAAGTTGCTGCTAGGCCTAGTGGCTGTTGTTCCCGGTTGGAACATCATTGCAGACCCTCAGATCATATGAATCTAGACCTGGGCCCACCCTAGATTCAGTCCGGTACCCTCATTACGTCTGCTGCGAACCCCACCGGACACCAGCGTCTCCAACTTCCAGCATAATAATTCCCATGAGTCCTACTGCTTGTGAATTTCACCAGTCCCCTGTAACTAGAACTCCTTGCAGTTCCATCCTTCCTGAGACACAGAACCACAGCACGGACAGCAGGGACTCAGTACGTACATAGACACAAGCAGTAGACTTGGAGCTGATCAGACGGACGAAATCCATTCAGGGCAACCCAAAAATAATACTTGGACACAGGGTAGCACCCCTGCCGGCCGCCAACCCTGACCGCCGATCGTATTGCAGCCGACCAGTAGGGGCGACCGGTCGGCGGTCTGCCGACCAGTCAGAAAACAACCATCCACTGATTTTTTTTCAAATCTGAGTTGGGGGCTGTACTGCGCTGGCCGAGTAGAGCCCAAATTCGCTGTGAAAATTTTTGCGATGGCGGGGGGGTATAGGGGGCTTGGGGTTGGAGCATACCTGCGGCGCAAGTGTGCTGGTCACCGATGCGCAAAAAAAAAAAGAAAAAAAGAAAAAAACGGGTGTTATGTGTGAGAACATGGGGGAGAGAGAGAGAGAGAGAGAGAGAGAGAGAGAGAGAGAGAGAGAGAGAGAGAGAGAGAGAGAGAGAGAGAGAGTAGCTCCTTAGCATTTATTTCAAAACCCCTGCGGGTTATCCGAGAGGCCCCTGCACATAATCAGCAAGGGCCACCTTACGATGAACGAGGTAGTACTCATAGCCATGCGAAAGTCAAGGCACTTTGAATCATCAAGGTCCGTGTTTCAGCAGTTATGGGACCACTGAGCACGTAAGTTTCTGGGCAGTAGCAGGCCAACTCACCACGTGCTTTTCAGGGCTTCCCTCCACTACTCACCAAATGTGCAAAACTAGAATGAATCTTCTGCTAGAACATGGAACCGTATGCCGCCATATGTTTTGTCTTTTGTGCAAGCGGTGACGAGTGGAGCAAGGCCCTTAGGGGCACTGCTCGTAGGAAAAGGAAACAAAAGAAAGAGAGGAATGAATCTTCTGCTAGAACATGGAACCATACGCTGCCATATGTTTTGTCTTTTGTGCAAGTAGTGACGAGTGGAGCAAGGCCCTTAGGGCCACTGCTCGTAGGAAAACGATACAAAAGAAAGAGAGAGCTACGGTAGCAAGTAGTTGTAACTTGTAACTCATAACTGCTGGAAAGCAGACCTGACTTCAGATCCAGAACATATATTGCTGGCCTGCTCCACTTTCACACGAAATTTGCTGAACGTCTCTTGAGATGTTGGAACCCTTGCAAATGCACTGCTGGGGTCCTTCGGGAAAAAGACTATTCAACGAGGAATACGTGGGGCCAATTTTTTTTTCTGCGGGGAGGTGCACCATTGGCTACCTCAGCCAGCCTTCTCCAGATTTTTTTTTATACCCTATTTATTGGGGTGCGTCGCATCATGTGCGCGTGCATGTGTACACGTGCGTTATGCGCCACACGTGCGGAGCTCGCGCGCACGCGATACGCCGCAGGTATGGGTTGGAGTATAGGGGTGATCTAGGGGATTGCAATCAGACTCGCTTTCATTCACACTTTACATGCATGCAAACAGTAGCGCAGCAAACTGGCGACATGCGGCCACTCAAAACTCAGAGATATGGCAGCCCAGATACGAGTTCACTTTCAATGGCTATGGCGACTCAGCGCCCAAACAACGCTCTGTTCGCATACACCGGATCACCCTGGATATCCCACACGCGTACTCTGCACTCACACACACACACACACACTACACACTAACTCTAGCTATGGCGGCTATGGCCGCTACTACCCTATCGCTATGCTACACTCCTTCTCTCTCGCCCACTTCGGCTCCGGGCTCACTGCAGACCTCCTTGCACAAGTCGCTGTGGCAGCGCTTCTGCATGGCTCACGCAGGAATGAATGAATGGCTGGGCGCTGCCGCTTGATTTATGCTTCTGAAGCTCGTTGGTCTGCGCTTTTCCATCGGCCAATGGTGCTCACAGTCCTTCGTGGTACTTGCTGGACCAGATTGGGACTGACTGGACCTTACCGCTGACTACATGGGGACGCACTGCTATCTTACCGCTACCGTACTGCGAACGTACTGCAGTTGGTCCACAACTTGCCCACTTGCTCGACCTTCTAGGACTACAACTAAGACTTCTGGAACTCACTAAGACTTCTATTCGACAGACCTACAGATCGAACCCTGGCTACCTATGGACCCTACGACAGCCTATCAACTGTTACAAATACACAGGTCGTGGGTTCAACTCTACGGGTCGACATAGGTACTGTACACAGGTAAGGTGGGGACTAGGGATCGAGCCCTGGGATCTGCGTCTGCTACTGCAAAAGTTGAAAACCGTTTCACTCCCGTCGTCCTAAATTCGAGGTCCTCCGAGAAGGCAGGACCTTTACCCTTCTTATCACGCTCATAGGCTCTAACTATGTCGGGAGCTGTTTCTAGAAGTTTTGTTGTAGTAAACCAGCACTCGTCTTCCGGTTCCTGATAAGCAAACCGGACTTTATACTGTTTCTCTGGACGACCTCTACCTCCTGTCCTAAACACATCTTCACCTACAATGCCGTCAATGTCATATCTTCCATCCATATTCGGAGGGATCATGGGTCTTCTTGAGGGGAACTGTTGACTTGTGACACACAGCACCAACTTTGAAGCATGGAACACAGGGTAGGTGTGGAGGTGTGCTGGAATCTCTATAGTGTAGGACGGTCCCTCCTCTCCGTCCTTGACTTCTAGAACCGGCCACGGTCCTCTATATGCAAGCAGTAACTTCTGCGAGATGTTCTCCTCGGGTGCAAACTCTTTAGACTTGACCCATACCAGGTCGCCTACCTGAAACTGCGATGGGCGACAGTGCTTATTAGCCTGTTCTATCATGCGGTGCTGGGCCTTCCTGAGGTTTTCAACAACAGATGCTAGCTCTTTCTCATGCTGTATCGCGAACTCCCTGGTACCGGGCGGTAGCCTGTGAATCTGATCCCGGGTAAGTCCTTCAAACGGTTTGCGGGGTCTAAAGGACTTGTGTAACTCGTTGGGAGTGCGACAGGTAGATAAATGCACGCTGTTATTGTATGCGCTGGCTACCTTGGGCAGCATCTCATCCCAATTAACTTGATCTGGTCTAATATACATGCGCAAAACTTGCTGCAGGATCTTGTTCATCTGTTCTGTCTGACCGTTAGTCTCTGGATGACGGCCAGATGACATCAGCAACTTTGACCCATAGACTCTCATTAGCTCCTTCCAGTTCTGACTTGTGAATCTGGTGTCTCTATCGCTAACTATGAACAGCGGAACTCCGTGGTCACTAATCCAATGATAAAAAAAATTCTAAATGACTAACTCCGTACGTGCC